TTAATAGTAAAAATGTGTTATAAATAATTTTTTTGAGATTGGAGATTTGAGCAGCCTAAATCGGCCGCGACGTCACATGTCGGTCATAAAAAGCTTTGATCGGACAAATGGTAAAATTTGGCCGTGAACAATGTCCGATGACCAACAGACAGCACTAATTTGCAGTCTTTGCAGGCATGGATGTTTGATTTCGTTACTCCTGTAAGTGCCAGCAGGCAACGTGCAGTTGAGTTCTGAATTTAGAAAGCTGCGAATTAAGAGGGATTCAACCGGGAAAATACAAGTGAAACTTCGACGTTTCGAGTGAAAGCTCTGCTTTGTCGGAAACTCAGGAAAAAGAGATTTCTGGCATATGCCACCGCATATTAATCACTGTTTGTTTCGTGCTTTGGATCTGTGAATTGATTAATCTAGTAACCATGACATTTCCGAGAAAATCACATCCAGTGGCGACTCCAGGGACCAGGTGTCCCTGAGCAAGGATGAAGTGGCAAAGTTGAAGTATTTTAGCGATTGTTAAAGCCTAGTTTCCATTTGGTCGTTAGTTGTCGCTGGCACGACAAGCGGTAGATGTGAAATAGTCTAATATAATAAGTCTTTTTGTGTGTTAGGCCCGTTTCATACGCCGTACTTCACATGTGCCGAATACATTAAAGACAATAGATAATGAGCTGAAATGCCTCATTATCTATTGTTTTTAATGTATTCGGCACATGTGAAGTACGGCGTATGAAACGGGCCTAGAGTTTTGTAAAGTTTTGCAGTGTTGATACTCTATTACATCAGCCACTTGTCGTGCCAGCGACAACTAACGACCAAATGGAAGAAACTAGGCTTAAAGGATCTATTAAATTTCGAAAAGAGTATAAAAGGCTATTAATTTTAACTTTTTTAGTAATTTTGTGTATCATCTTTGGTCATACCATAACTGTCCCTCATTGTCACACGTTGTCATAAATTATCCCACGGTATTTACATGTTGTTCTTTTGTTGTCCTGGGTTCTGGTAAAAGACTTCCTTTGTTTATACCTTTATACCGAGGTAACGATGATATATTTTGCAACGTTAATCAGAGTAAGCGATGGTCTTGCTCTTTCTGCCTCAACAGATCTCGATACAACATTCGAAGTGAAGGAAAGTAAAAAACGTTTAAAGTTGCTATCAAGAAAGGTCGGTCAACTGCCAGCACGATGTACTACAAAAATTGGCACATATTGTATACAGTAAGATCTTGTCTCTAAATTATCTTTTTAAAATAATATCACATTTTGATTTGTATTATATGACCCTTATATAAATTGAAAATTCTCGGGTTTTACCAGACTGAGAAAAAACGTTTTTCCTGCATATTTGAGCTATTTAGTATACCGTATTTTACACATTTAATAAGAAAGCTGTGGATTGAGAGAATTAAAAATACAACATGTCACCTAAATTGGTGAAAAGTTAGTAGTGTCGAAGTTTTCAGGATAAATCTCTCACAATCTGCAGATTTCTTGTTATCGTCACCACCCACACTTGACAGGCACAGACCATTCAAGATTATATTACATTAATACCTATGGCAGACATTGATTTCTAACAGGTTAATTGGTCAATTTATTAGTGATAGATGACTGATATTAAATCAGTATCAGGCCGATTTTTGCCTTATCACTTAGACAATTGGAATCGGAGAATTATCTGTATTTCCAATTGTGTAAAACACATTAGATTAAAAAAAATACATTATACATTGCACATTACATTACATTATTATTCAGCTCACTCCCCATTGGGGCTTTTCAGTGACTGATTACATCAAGTATTATGCTTATACTTAATATGTTACTAATAGCTTAGCCTATTTATCTTTACAACAATTTATATGATTAATTACTTTCCTAAACTGTGTTTTTTTATCCTAGCCCACCCTGCCAACTTGCCCTAGCTGTGGGAGAAAACCGGAGCGCCCGGAGAAAACCCGCAACTTTCGGCAGAGCGTGGGCAAATTCTTTTCACATCTTTTCACATGATACATGTTGTGTGTACAAACACTCGACATGTGGAGCAATTCATGCATGAAGCATGCCATTTATAAATGGTTCAAATGAACTGTTGCAGTAACATGTTATGTTGGAAATTAACATAATTGAAAATTGAAATGAATGATGTCACCTTCACTAGGTTAACTTTCACATCTGATTCAGTAATTTCCAATTGTGGCACAATTAGTGAATCAAAACCTTTCCAGATGGGTAATCAAAGAAAATAGAAGAAAAATGTTGTTTCCAGAGGGGTTAAAGTGTAAAAATGCACTTCCAAAGGGAGTAATTGAAGACTTTTCCAGTCAGTTGCACAGATTTGCACTCCAGAGGGGTAAAATTTTGAAGAAGAGAGGTCCTTAAGGGGCTGTTTGTATGGAGCCAGACTGGTCCGGTTAACCGGCCGGGTGATTTGTTTAATAAATCTCATTAAAAATCACAGCTTTGATAAAGATCCAAAATTATATTTCAAAGTTGAATTTAGCCTAGTTTGATTCCAGTGACAGTATTTATAAACTATTTCATTCAAACAATGTGGTCAAGAAAAAAATTTTGTGACACTATTCATCCTGGCTAGGCTGGTTGGCCTGGCTCATATGAACAGCCCCTAAGGTAGGGGTTGTTCAATTCTGCAGTCCATTTTTTACAAACTAAGGTCTGTGAGGTAGAAAATAGATGATGCTAACTGAGATAGGAGAATTGCACTCTCTGTGCACAAAAATACAGGAAGTCCTATTTAGCGAAGCTCGTGTTTCTCCCACTTATTAGACCCTTATTGACACCTCAATATGTTCAATTGGGGCAATGCCCTGTTTGGCCACCAGTTGCTTTGAATAGTTACATACTGTACTTATTTGTATTTAGTCTTATATAGATACATTTATGTAAAATTGTTTGAATGCAACAAAGTTATTAAATTATTATTAAATCAAAAATCACCTGCCCATTTTGCAGACCTGCCAACTTTCATGGTTTTGTTGTGAGACTCATGATATTTGATGCTTTCTCACAGTCTCACAGCAAACTCTTTAAATCTCATGAGATTTGAGGGAATCTAGCAATTAAGAGGCAGTCAAAGTGATCAACTAGAGTTTTAATTACATGTATTACCCACTAAGCTATATTGAAATTATGTGTCCCAATTTGTAATTTTACACTGACTATATAACACCATATTATTAATGAAATTGTGGAAGGGAGAGTGTTGGATGTTAATACTATATACAGTAGTTGGTCATACTTCGGACTAATGCAAAATCTTTCCTAAAAAGCTCATAAAGTCAAGTTGTGCAGGATAGTTAATCTACAACTCTACAGATAAGAAGAACAACAGAGAAATATATGGACAATTCCACATGAAACCAGAGGCCATACCAGTAATGCAGAAACCTCGCCCTGTACCGTACCACCTACAAAAGCCACTGAAGGAATGGTTTGCAACAAGGAGTGGAAGAGGACGTATTTGAACAGGTCCCTGACGATGAACCAGTGACGTGATGCTCCCCACTGGTGATACAACCCAAACCGAGATTCGCAAAGACTCCCAAGGAGAAATTGGGCCCACATATGATCCGAGCAAGTGTCGACCTCCGAGTTCCCAACAAATACATGGAACGAAGCCGAGTAACCCAAACACCCATTGTTGAAGATTTCATCCACAGATTTCATGACTGCAGCATTTGGACCAAGATGGACCTCCGTCAAGGTTACCATCAACTTGCCCTCAATCCAAGGTAACGAGCTGTCGCCACTTTTGCCACCCTATGGGGGAACTACCGCCCGAAACGACTAGTATTTGGAGCCAAAGCATCACAAGATTTATTCAATGAAACAATGCAACGAATCTTCGGAGACATCCCCAGATGCTTGAACCAGAGAGACGACCTTTTAATTGGGGCACGGGACTGGTCCGAACACAGTGCCACCCTCGAAGCTATTTTGCAGAGAGCAGACGACTATGGAATCACATTAAACAAAACCAAGTGTGAGTTTGGCCAGCCAGAGTTGGCGTTCTATGGCTATCGGTTCAGTCAACAAGGACTAACACCCACAACTGATAAAGTCAAGGCCATCAAGGAATGCACAGCACCAACATCAAAGTCGACGGTACGAAGTTTCCTCGGTATGACAGGTTACTTAGCGAAATTCATCCCCAGATATGCTTCCCTGACGCAACCACTGCGAGAATTAACCCGCAACGAGACGAAATTCCACTGGGGCCCGGAAGAAAAGGATGCGTTCGAGAAATTGAAGCAGAGTATCTTCAATGATGACACCATTGCATTTTTCCACCCGGAACGTCCCACCATGGTGAGAACGGAGGCAAGTTATAATGAAGATCTCTCAGCGGGCCTATTTCAACGCGCTGAGAGAGGATGGCAAGCGGTCCACTTCATCAGCCGTACTCTCACCGATGTCGAACGGAGATATAGTCAGACCGAAAAAGATGCGCTGTGTGTAAAATGGGCGAAAGATCGGTTCAGTATCTACTTAATGGGAGCTCCTAGATTCACCATCGTGACGGCGCATAAACCATTACTCCCCCTGTTTAACAAAGCCACCGCAAAGCTCCCACCACGTATCGAGAAGTGGGTAATGGACATGCAAGATGTCGATTATGAGATGCGATACGAGCCAGCCCTTGGACTTCCTCGCGTGACACCCCTTGCCCGAAACAGGAGAAGATGAGACAAGAGTATCACAGAGGCAGAACCAGCCATCGTTTTAAGTAAAATCATAGCCGCAACAGCCCAAGACAACACTCTCCGAAAGCTTAGTCAGATTATACACAAAGGAAACTGGATGGAGTACAGAAAAGATCCAGACATTTCACCTTTTATGGCCATCAAAGACGAGTTATACGAAGCCAAAGGTCTGATCCTTTACCGAATGAATCAAATTGTCCTTCCTGAGAAACTGCAAAAGAAAATGATCAAAATTGCCCATGAGATGGAACACCTCGGGAAACAAAAACCAAGCAGACGATCCGATCAAAGTACTGGTTCCCAACGGTGAACATGATGATTGACCAACTCATTGCAGGATGCTTTGAATGCCAGGTCGCTACCAAGCAGCACACAGAAGAACCGATCAAGCCAACGGTTATACCACAGAAACCTTGGGAGGAGATCGCCATGGACTTTGGGGGACCATATCCAGATGACCACTACAACCTAGTGGCAATAGACAAACGAACTCGTTACCCAGAAATCGAAGTCACCTACTCAACCTTATTTAAACCAACCCAAGCAAAACTAAAACTAATGCTTGCGCACCATGGAACCCCACAACGCGTAGATTCAGACAACGGACCTCCTTTCTATTCAGAGGAATTTGCTCAGTTTGCCCAGCACGAAGGATTTACGCATCACCGTATAACACCAGAACACCCAAGAGCCAACGGGGAGGCAGAAAGGTTCATGCAGACTATCAATAAAACCGAACATATTGCACATTTACAAGGAAAGCGTGCAGCAGAAAGAGAGTTAGCAGTACAAAATATGCTAATAGCCTATAGAGACACGTCACACCCAACTACAAGCGTCACACCCTACGAAGCCATGCACGGTAGACCGATACGTATCCGTCTAGACCACGAGAATGCGCGAAAGACCGATCGTAGAGAGAAAGATAAGGAAATTGATGAGCGGGACAAAGAGTACAAGAAACGAATGACGCACCAGAAAAGAAATGTAAAGAAACACAAATTCGCATTGAAGGACTATGTGCTGCTGAAGCAGAAGAAAACTAATAAGTGGACAACAGCATTCGAGCCAGCTTTTTACACCATCACAAAAATTCAAGGATCGTCAATCACCATCAGACGGATTAAGGACGGAAGAGAACTGTGCCATGACGCGAGTCAACTCAAACCAGCAAATTCCCTAGTGGGAACGGAGGAATATCCAATGCAGCCTGCTGACGATGAAGAAGAGGAGGAATCTACTTGGGATCGTGAAACAGACGAAGAAACGGCAGATGGTGAGGTCGAGCCAGCAGAAAACGGAGACCAGCAGAAAACGAAGGAATCGATCGACCAAGAAGAGAAAGACAACAACCGGCGCGACTGAGAGACTATATCCTTTCATAATGTAGAAAACAAGAAAAACGAATAAACTTTTAAGTTATCAGAACAAACGTAATACAGTTATCAGAGTAACTCTTATAACAGGAGATCTGAAATATCTTAAGAAAGGAAGATGTTATGTAAATAGACATTAGTCACCAGACTTCTCACGAACTGGACAGAAACCCATGTGGGTTTTGGACATAGTTGTGTTTGGATGTTTTTCACTGGTGTTGTTCTAGTTAACTAGTTTACTTAAAGTTTAGATTGTTGTAATAATAAAGCATACAAACTTCTTAAAATGTATAACTTGGAAACTAAAACACTTGCAATAAGAAGTGACTGATATTCTTTGTAATGGTTTCATGTAAGAATTAATAAAAGTAAGATTCAGATACCCCTATTGGTTCCTTAAAACAAATCTAGGAAGGAAAGCTAGTACCTTTTGTAGTTGTGTGTTGGAGTATGTAATAAATGTAAAAAATAATCTTGAAGATGAAAGAATTTCATAAAAAAATAGACAGGTCTAATAGTTGATACATTAGAGATTTCACATTTGAAAATTTAATCTATTCTTTTAGTAATTTTACAACAATTTTAATTTAACAATTTTAATGTCTGAATAACAATTTTTTCTTTTAAACATTTTTAGTTTTATAAGAACCGGTTCTCTTTGTACCATGATGATATGTAGCAGTCAATATCCAGAAATTTTGGCGTTCAGTTTCTTAACAGAACTACAGAGGGAATTCCTTCTTCAGTACAAAAATGAAGATATTCAGAGAGCTAAACGACCATACACATTTGTAGAATTTGGTATGTTGTGTTGAAACTGCAGGCATGCTGTGCAAATAGCAACTTAAATAAATAGCAACTAATAAAAAAATTTTATTTTTTTTTATTGTTCAAACCTTTACAAACTTTTCATTTCTTGTACAGATATGTTTATTCAGAAAATGAAGCAGAGATATTCAAATACAAACAGCTTAACAAGCAGGATTAATGTCAGTGACATCAGTGAAGATCTGAAACAAAGTCCTCCGTATGAGATAAAAAGTTCTGAACTAATGCAATCTAATGGAGCGCCAGAAACGAAATACAAAAGCAGTGGTACTGTATACTATTTCACACATATATTTTATGGAGTATAATATTCAAGTGGCTTACTGAGTAGTACAGTAACGTCAGAACAAGCACCTTTCATCTCAGAAATTGTCGGTTCCATTCTCAGTATGCCTATGGACGGACTCATGACCCTTAATGGCCTTATGTGATTTATGTGAAAAGAATCAGTTAATGCATTACTCAATGCTCTACCAAAAGTTAATTCTGTTTCTCCGGGTACTCTGGTTTCCTTCCACAGGGAGTGTTGACATGGGGTTGCGATAAATTATATACTAACCCTTCCATCATAGACATAGCTGTGCTCCGTGGCCGTCGAGTCATAGCAGCCAGAGGTGCCCTTAGTAAGCCTTCAACTTGATCAGCTTGAGCTGTGCCTTTTGCATAGTCATAACTGAGCTCAGCTCCCAGGTACAAGAGTTACAAGTACTAGATAAAACATGAGCAGCCGATCTGTATCTGATATACGAAAAACGTTCAGTTCTACACCTAGGTACTAATAGGTTGGAATTAATAGGTTGGAAAGGTATGGGCTGATCTGAGTCCTTCCTTATTTCGACTTTTGTAATGATTTTAGGTAAGGTTCACATGATCGCTCCTCTCACGTGGCTTGGATATTTGACTGGAGCACTTTGTTGTGTTTGTGCGTTTTTAAATATTCTCAGATTTATCCCACTCTTTGGTTACTATGGAGTCGAAACTGAGGTAGATATAAGTTGATTTATTACTTCATGGTAAATTGTTTTATTACTAGATCTTTAATTTAATCATTGCCAGAATTTTTCAGGAATTCAAAACCTATGGCCCCTGCCAATGACATAATGGATTCGGTTTATTTACATACAAAACAAGCTTAATTAAGGTGGCTCCATACAGTTATTAATACAATTTGAAGTTGATTTAGTCAGACGTCATTCTCGAGTCGTGTGCGTGGAAAATTCGTGGTCTTTTTTACACAAGCCGACTCAAAACCGCGAAATCTGGACCTATAAGCTCGAAAAGTAGGCTACAATGAACGTGCATGCCGTGATTATGAATGGGGGCATGGGAGTTTTGTTTTTGAAAAAGGCTATACGAACAATTAGAATCGTCAAGAAAGAGATATAAAGACGTCCATGTGCTTTTCGCGCTTAGATGTCGAGGTTCTGCGGTTGTGAGTTTTGACCTTTGGAGGACAACCTGGCTGAATTCATATCTCCCTGAAGTAGTGCAGGAACAAAAAGATGTACTAAATATATAGTTAACGCCCTTATCATATGCACGTTGACAAACGAATTCAACAGACAAAAATAGGTACGCTGAACGTACATGCGCCCGCTATCAGTATAGTTCAGCAGATCAAGCGAGAGTATAGGCTCAAGATAGGCTATGCTGATCCTAACCAGTGAGCTCTCTATATATATCTAGAGCAAGAGAAAATGTGAAACGTGACTCGTGAAGCCAAGATGGCTGCCATTGACATCCAATAGCTCTGAAGGTCGTAAACATATACGCTCGCATTTCAGTCAGAGTTTAAAAGACGAGATAGCGTTTATAGAATTAATTAATTTGAAATACTTAAATATACATATATTGGATTCACCTTTTATTTAATGTTGCAATAAAAATTGAAAAGTAGAGTGAAATTTGAGAGCAACTCGTCAGGTTCGTAACTTTAAAAACTTTGTCGAAAATGATTTCATTCGGGATGTGTCTCAATTGCCTTGGGAGATGGTCTATCAGTTTGGAGATCCCA